ATAGTCGATTGGATGGTTATACAGCCACAGCGCAATTCCTGGTCGTATACATACAGCAGTTAAACTTCCGGCACGGGAACCCAAATAACACAAAAACATTCCAGCAACGTTTTAATCGTGTTGATGAACGATATGGCTTCAATGTGTACCTGTCCCAAACGTCAACGTTGCTCAAATGTTGCAAAAGCATTGCATTGACGTTGCAGATCGTTATTTATATATGGCAGTAACGTTTCATGCCTGTTCAACTCAAGTTGCTGCAATGTCGATGGAGAACGTTGCCTCACTAGAACCTAATCTGGACCTATATTGGCATTACTACCCGGAAAAGCATAGGCTTCGTTGGCCCTGAACTGGACCGATATTCTGCCTATATTGAATTATTCCATTCATCTTTTCGCACCATACACTTTAATTCCTTACCCAGTCGTGGTGGAGACGTTCCGATCAACAGGACGAAACACCAACATAATCTTTGCCCATGTCTGCCCCTGCCGATACAGTATCATGGATAGACAGGAGCCATAGCACATTTTAGGAGGTAATATTTCCTTTAGTGTGCCAAGTATGACACATTTCTGGATTTGGTCCACCCATCATGTTCTATGAAGTATCCCCGAATTCATCCAAAACCATCCTGTTTTGAGGAGAGGGAATTGATGGATTGAACCTGTAGACATTAATGTTTATCTCCCGTAAGTTATAATCATGCAATCTTTTTTATCATGCAGTCCTGAGAAAGTGTTCTTAGGGGGAATATGAGCTCGTTTTTGGCTTGGGCTCCATGAATCTGCTTCGAATATGGGGATAACGAATGATGAGTCCATGCTCCCCGATTCCTATAATGAGACTAGGAGAGACCCATGGCGAGGTACTAGACACTCCTGTGACGGACGATTCCAAGGAATGGGAAAATGCACTGTGTACAGTTCGAAAAGCGAGACCTACGCCTCCATCTAGTGGCCTGGAGAACAACATTACGATTCTTTAAAACTTCTTAGTGCAAATTGCAACAGAATGCTGTCGCTACGTTATCATTGTCAACAGGGTCATTATTTCAATATTGATAGCAAATGCTGCAGTAACATTCGTAGAAATGTCTTAGCAACATTCCAAGTGCTCAGAAGTAAAAAACATTGATGTTATGTTTCATCCATCAACTTGCGACATAGAGCAACATTGGCAACCTTTCTAAAACGTTCCATGAACATACTGTGTTACTTGGGTTCTGAGACAGCTCCCCTTGGCCTGGGAGCCCAGATGAAGGGAGTTCAATAAGCTTTGGCAATACCCAATTAAGAAGATAAACAAAGGTACGAGACGTAGACTAGACTCGTACGCAGAAAGAGAGCATACACCAAAGGAGCTGAAGCGTCTAGCAGAGGGGGTGGGAGGAGGTGCGGTCACTCAGATGCGCGTGAACGCGTGCGTGTTTTGTGATTCATGTTGGGGTATGAGTCTCCAAAGCGACTCTTTCCAGATTTGAAAACTAAGTGTGAAAACGACTTGAAAATAATGAATTTTCCCAAAGGGGGGGGAATCAATGCCATCCCTTTTGTGACCCACGTACACATATGAAACGAATGCATACATGTGAGAATGCTTGTTTAAAGGAACGTCCTTTGTTCCTTGGCCACTCGGCAGCTTTCCGAGGGGATATACGAAGAGTCCCCTTCGACAAAAAGTTAAAAGAGTTTTGTTTACAAACAACCGCGTTCTATTGCGAAGGACTCAGATCTCTTGGGTTTGAAATCAAGCGTAATTACGATAGGTAGACTTTTTTTAATGCGGGTCCAGACTGCCGTGAATCAGATGGCTCCACCCCGAAGAAAGAAATTGAAACTTCCTCCAATTGCAAGTGGGAAGCGAATCGCTTCTTTGGGAGGACTGTGGGGTGCATTTTTATACGAAGGGATTATTAAGGAGTGCTTCCCAGTTCCCACAACTGTCCTTCACTTTGAAAATTATTATTTTTTATTTTTCGTCTTATGTCCGCGGTAAAACCTGGAGATTCATTTCACAGGCCCTAATTTGAATGAAAGAAAATGTGCAGGAAAGTTTTAGATTATCAAAGGAATTTTCATTAATTTTAAATGTAAAAATACTTTGCTAGCCTAGCTCACTGGATCCTCTTTGATGATGAAATTTCTCACCGTTTTCATTTTCAATTTATAGCATTTATGCTTTATGAACAAACAGAACGCTCTCAGATTCTTCCTTACCTTGATCCGGATTTTCGAGAGACTCGGAAGACACCGTCGAAAGATTCGACGCTCGGACGGGAGGCTTCCCTGTCCTCCGAAGGCGTCTTGGGGCTTGTCGATCGCCGTCACTGGCTCCATTTCTTCGTTCGATCCCATCGCATGGCTGAAAAGTACTATTCGGGTTGACCGAATACTGAAGTGATAAATCGAGTTCTGCGGCTCAAACGCTTTGTTTAAATCTTGGTTTTCCTCCTAAGGATTGACGAGTTTTATCGTGTAAAATAATTGTGCGTGATTGGCTAGATGCGAGTCTTTTTTCACGATGGAAGTTCCTATCTGTCTCGCTGATTACTAAATTGAGACTATGCAAGTATGAAAATGACAAAAATGCATTAACTACCAGGAAAATACCAATAGAGCCCGTTTTTCCATGATTTTAGATGTAAAAATATTTGTAAGTTCTCTTCTGAAATAAGAGGCAAAGACTGGAATGAGGACCCCCTAACCCTCAACGAGGCGATCGTGATTTACATATCGTGTCAGTACATCTTGCCTCGAGCGAGAAGGTCATGTGCAGAAATACTAATAGTAACTCATAATTCACCACTATAAATTTATTTGCATAATTATTGTTGTAACATCATTATTATGTTAAGAGTATTTCACTGTTGCTACCAACATAATCATTATGATATCAATACTATACTTTCACCATATCTATATTATAAAAGCACTGATTCCTTACCCCTTGAGCCTGTGCTACTTTGACTAATCTGTGAATTTCGAAGGGGATTGATTACCTGTTCAAAGCGAGAAGTCTCGAATTCGACTGGTGCTGCAGGAGGTACTGGTCGGGACTGCAGGTTTTTTTGTCGTCGACAATGGCCTCGAACCCAGATTGCATCCGGAAAGACCCCCGAAATTACAATTTTAAGGCGACTTGGACGACAAATTGTCGGTGATTTCTTCACGTGCGGGCTCTCAACTGCAGTGCAACCTTTTGGAGATCGTCTTCCTCAACTAAATGAATCATTTTTGATCGAACTCGGTCTGTGCAGTCGATCAGAGGAACGCAGACCCAGCACATCCAACATTGAAGCAGCATTGCAGGCAACGACGCCTCGCCCCCAAACTAGGCTCTGCAGTGACGTCACGAGATCCCGCGCAGAGGTGCCGAGTCCCAGCAGCGATGCCACTGTCTCTCGATCATCGACGAAAGTGCGTAACCGGATTGACCGATGTGGGACCCCTTCCTCCCGACAGATACAATTTCAACCATGAAGAATACCGTCGCAGATTTCCCCATTGAAAAAGGAGCAGGAGTAGCATGTAATTATTAAGCAAATCTGTCCTCCAGCGCCACGAATCCGACAACCCTGCTCGACGTGATGAAGGATGCCAGACAAGCGGAGTCTCGTCTCGTCCACCTGGATCGTCAGATGCCCCTGTCATTCGGCGTCATGCAGAGCAGTGCCCAACCCATTCCTGACAGACCTGAAGGTAGGATTGTTTTTTTTTTTATACGATCGGTTTCTTTGTTTACATGTTCACGACGATAAGTTCTGTAGTTAGTACGCGGGACTCGGGGGATCTATTGTCGCCTTCGCCCTCGGAATTCAATGACTTCACTTGGGAAAATATGAAATGTGAATTTAATCCGACGATCAGGGAAAGTCCTATGAGAGCAGAAGAAAAGGAAGCCAGTCAACAGTTTCCTAGACTCGTTTATTCGGTGTTTTCCGTCTGAGAGTGTGGAGCCTCCAAGGGAGGGAAGATCTGGTTTGAAACCGCATATCTCACTGGTCATTTTCCAAAATTCTCATTGTCTTGGGGAATGAGGCCTTATTCGAAAATCGAACGCTGAGTCAATATTCCATGCAATCCGTCAGCTTCTCGGTGTTTTTTCGACTTCGAAGTACTGAGCTAGGACCAGCAGAACTGAAAATGCAGGTCACATGGGCGTGTCTATGTCCGTCAGTGCCTGTGAAAAAGCTTTCGTCATCGATTTCTGCGATTCCACAGCTGCAAACTTTACAAATAGAAGCCATCATTCGTGCATCGTAGGCCTATGTGAACGGTCCCGGACAACTCGACCATCCTCGATGGTTCGCTCGTCGGCGCCGCGTGATGGGAAGAGTGTGAGGTGGTGGATGCCAGTTGCGGTGATTCACGTCCGGCAACCGACAACTCTCTCCCATCGTCTACTATGGATCCTCAATTCGCGAGGACTGGAATGGAATAGCAGCTTCGCTTACAGAATCCATTTTGGTGCTGACATTTCTCACGTTTTCATTTTAAATTTATAGTTTTTATAAAGTAGGCACAGGTAGAACATATTCAGATTCATGTCCTTGATTTGGATTTTCCCCCGATAACCTGCTACGTTAGATGTATTGAGAATGAATTGATCGTACCTAATTTAGCTCCTTTGTTCCCCCTCTACACTGAACTTGTCGACTCAACATTTGTGCGGACTCAGCTGAGTCAACAGCTTGCATCCTTTGAACACATTAAGGTTCGAGATGCAATGCCAAAAGCACCTAAATGTCTTCATTCTCATCTTGAGATTATCTCTCAGTATAATGTGAACAGGCCTGGCAAAGGCAGTGTGTATTGGCAGTACATAAAAAAGGACGGAAGCTCAAGGCAATAGATCAAGTAAAAACGAAGAGTAACATCAAGAAGCAGCAGCTCTGGGATAAAGGTTGGAAATTTTGAAGAAGCAAGTACGCTGGGAATAGGAATGGATATCAAGAAGCAGTTAGGCTGGGAACAGGAAATAATATGGAAAAGCAGCTAGGCTGGGAAAATGAATGAAGGCTCTCCAACTGCATCGACGTTAAGCCAGGCGAGGCTGTTGATGATCCCCACCGCCTCCGTCGTCGCGTCGAACATGCTCCTCATTTTTCTCTTTTTCAGCTCCTCCTCTCCGCCTGGTTCCATCAACTTTTTCTGCATAACGAAACCAAACGATCAACCGAAACTGACTTCTCTGTGGCTTAACACGACGTAACTCCGAATGGAACTCACGAGGTCGCTTTGCTCCTGGATTTCCGCCACGAGCCTCTCATTTACGTACGTCATCAGCTAAATAGAAACGGGAACGTTCGTGGATGGCCTTCAGTTCCTCTCTGAAACTGGAGGAGACAGAAACAGACCTCTTTGATGATGGTATGGACGATGTACTTTGGCGTGAGGTCTTGGATGGTCTGCTTCACGATCTGCACGTACTTGAGGATCCGTTCCATGTGGTCATGCGCGTCCTGGCTTGTCCGAAGCGAATTTCTGGAAGGCGACGTGTCACGGCTCACGCGGATGAGTTCGTTGGGGAAGTGAACTCATCATCGGGGAAATGGACTCACCTTGCTGAAGTCGATCTTAGGCGGTGGAGTCGCGCACTTTCGGGGTGTGGGATGGGGTTCGGTTCCTTCATCTTCGTAGACCTGCAAAGCCTTTGAAAAATGAGGGTCTTGAAATAAGGGTAAAAAATAAGGGATGACAAATGATTAATTTTCGAAGAAGTTGGAAAGGTGGAAAAGGTGTCGGAGTAGTTATCCATACATCTGGAGCTGGATCGTAGTTCTTCCCATCTTGCGTTACAGCGTTGTTATGTGAGGTTCGAACTCTCCAAGAAACTCACCAGAGGATTTTTCCTGTGTCCTTGAACCTCTACCTATGGCTGTACTTGGAAAGCTATTCTGCACGAATACCCATGGAGGCACTCACGAGTCCGTCGACCGGGTTTCCCAAATCCTCCATCTGGATGCCTGCTTCCTTGAACGTGTTCTCCCAACGCTCCCCTTCCTCGTTCCCTTTCGTCCCGTTGTACATGGTCTCGATGATCCTTGCCTGCACCATCGTCATGAAGCTGCGAGGGAAGGAGCGGGGAATGGGGGGATCCGGTTGGGATCTAGTTGTGATCCAATTGGGGATTCGCACAGATAATTGCCGACCTGCCATCGATGCGAGATATGATGAACTTCTTCCTTCTCCGCGCCACATCGGTCTCGACGCCGATCTTGATCTTGGTATTTTGCAGTTGCATCAGTTCCGTTCCTTCCTGCATTCATGGGAACAAGTAGCATATTGAGTATATTGGTTGCAAGTTGGAATGTATGCGATTAAGATCCTTAGTAAAAAGGAAATTTAAAAAAAGACGGGGGGCGAAGGAGCGACACAGAAAGGCTAAATCAGATAAGAGTACAAACTCCATGGTCCGTGTATATGGACACGTGAAGAGGGGTGATGGTAATCCAGACGGGTTTCTTCTTCTTAAAGAACTGGGAGTCACTGGCGAGGTCCAAGTAGCCTTGATGGAGCACCTGCGCATCCACCCACCCTTCCATCAGCAATCGATTGGCAATCGTCGCGAATCGCGGAGAAACGAGACGGTCTCACCTTTTTAGGTTTGGGGGGGAGCAAGGGCTTCAGTTCGACTGGGTTGGTGGGGTTGGCGGATTTGGAGGGGTTTGTGGAGTTGGTTAGAGTGGTTGGGTTCTTCGCCTTGCCTTCGTCGTAGTCGCTGGGAGAAAGGCAGCGTTTGTGACTGGCAAAAGAAAAAGGGGAAGCGAATCTTCATCCTCTCGGCCCTTTTTTGCGATTTGAAATTTGAGAGAAAATTCGGATTCATGTTTTCCAATATATTTTCCTATTGGGAAAATAACGACAGTTGTGTGAAGAATTAATGAAACCCCTTCCGGCAAGAAAGCTATGAGCTGTTAATGCTCTAATTGCTCTAACTGACTCTGATCTTCACTTTGCTAATCGAACAGAATCCAAACCTGTATGGTAAATAAATCCCGTCTGGAAAATCTCCGATCTCGATCCGGTAATTATTCCAAACTCTTCATTACACGATCCCCCATTCTCAAAAGCAGAAATCGCTTTAGAAGGACCCCCCCACACACGCACCTGTGACCGTCGGAGTCGCACCGTCCCATCCACGGGTGGTTGGTGTTCATGAAGGCGCATTCCGCTTTTATGTATCTTTCCAGGTCTTCCTTGCACTTCAGCTCGTTGTCCTGCAGTCGCTCCATCAGCAGGCGCAGGACGGCTTCTTCCAAGTGGGGATAAGATATGATTTCCTAAATATATTTATAAATTTCTGTTGAAGTGCAATTTTTCTCGTGCTGAAATTCAAATATTTCGTGAAACGTAATTTTTGTTTGACCTTTCTGGCGCATTTTTCGATGGCCTTTTGGGTGAGTGCCGCGATGATTTCCACGGATTTCTTCATCGGTTCCTTGAACTTCTTGGTGATCTTCTCCACCATATTCTTGAAAACTTGCTGCGAAGCCGAAATGTAGTTCTGGACTCCGACCAAATTTCTCAAGGCCGTCATCACTTCCTCCTTTGTCAGCATCAAGCTCCTCTAGATCCGCAAATAAAGTTTTTTTTTTCTTTCCTTTAGCAGAAATGACGGTGTTGCCAAAAACGGGAACGTTCGAGCTCTGCTCCAGCAATAATGCGCTGAAGTCCGCTTGAGGACTTGAGGTTTCATTCATCAGAAACAAAATATGAGAGAATGATCCCTCTCAACTCAGGGATCTGTCCCCCTAAATTATTTCTGGGTTTAGAATCAAACACTACAGTTCACAAAATGGGCACGCGGCGCGCTATATTGCCTCCAATTTCTTCGGTCGAGTATCATATTCATATTTAAAAAAATTTTTGGTCACTCTTTATGCAAGTTAAAATATTTATTTGGTTTCATTCAGTCAGCAATATTTTAGTAACCACGGAGCGACGCAACCCGATGGAACATGCCTAACGGTACGGTACGTGAACATCGCTAAGTTTAGTCGGAGACGCGATACCTCGTTGAGAAGGCCATTGATGATGTTCGTGTTGATGGTCTCGTTGATGACGACCCCCAGCACGATCTCCTTGGTGTCCACGGAGTAGTCGAAGCCCTCGAAACAGGCTTCCATGGTCTTGGTGAACCTGGCCATCACCCTGGAAGGGAAGAGAGGGGATCCCTAGTACTCATCAACCTATGAAATCGATGAAAATTTTCATACATCTGATTCAAAGATCAAATGTATGAAAATATAAAATTTTCAACTGTCGACTCGAGTAAAAGATTGTAATCCAGACTGATGCAAGAGAGCGTTGTCGTTGATGTCCTTGTCCTCCAGGGCGTCCATGCTCTGCAGCTTCTGCTGGAGGTCGGCTTTCTGTTTGATCATTTCGGATCGGATCCCCGGGAGTTTCTCCCTGATGTGTTCCTGCAGTTGGCGATTGAGGACCCGCTGCAGGGTCTTCGTTCCCACTCGGTCGGTCATGTGCCTGCAGAGTTTCACGTTCTTGAGAGAGGGGGTGCGTGGATGGATCTAGTGGGAGTTTGGGTGGGGTTTGAGGTCGATGATGGAACCGGTCTGGGCCTGCCGAGGGCCCGCGAATTTTTTAGTAGGACTGTACTGATGACCACATTTGGTCGATCATTATCTCATACCTGTAGGCCGGTGGCGGTGCCTATTGTGACGTATAGAGGAGGAGCGAAGAACCATTATGTCAAATGACGTATTTAAATTGACCTATTGGGAAGCTGTGTTCAATTTTTCTTTTAGACTGTCGCCCTAAGTGCTTTGAAATCATCGAAGTATCGACCTGAAAATCGATAGTGCATCGATGCACCCAGGTGTGTGTGTGTGTGCGTGTGTGTGGGGGGGGGGGCTCTTACCATCGGGCGAAGGTTTCACTTCCGTCGTTTCTCGACTCGATCAGACGTATTCGATACATCGGTACAGCCCTGGTTTTTAGTGGAGCACTTGCAGCAAAAATGGCGAGGCCAGAAAGTCACAAGACAAATTGATGCGTCTTTTTGGTCTAGTAATTATTTTTCCATTTCAAACTCCTCCAATTCCCCCCCCCCCCCTCCCAAAAAAAAATAATAATAATAATAAATAAATAAATAGCAATAAAATAAAACTAATAATAATAATATTTAATAAATCAGGAAAGATCAGAAAAATGAATGCAGACCTGTACACCGCATGCTCCAGAAAAAACTTTTCCTCCGCGTCCCTGGCCTCGCGCAAGTCCACCTTCTCCTCGACGTCCTTCTGGGATCGGTTCACCACCCCAATGTATCCTCGCTTTAAGGGATAAATTTTATTCTCGAGCACGCGTCGCGCGTCGGTGCCCTTGTCCATCAGGTCTAGCTTCGTCAACACGCCGATGGTCCTCTCGCCTGCGGTGAGAAGGATGAGGCTTTTTTTTTAATCACGCTGAAGGGCTTTTTCATTAGGCAATATCAAGGGCTTATATTAAGAACCTTTGTGCACCGAAATTCTCTTATTTAATTTTAATTTAGATAATTTCCTACATTCCCGTGGCGGATTTGGAAAATAGGAGGAAGTCCAATTGCTGGAGGGATTTTCACCTGGTTCCAAATTTATGCACGAGAACTGCTTCGCCGATTTCGATATTTCTGGAACCAATCGTCTTGACTGAATCCTGCCGTGTGTCTTGGCGTTACCAAAGTCTGGAAAATTCTGTGTTTTGCCAAAATATCGTGAATATGCGCGAGAGGAAAAACTTCCGAATTGATCGAACGTAAAACGTCGATAAGACTCGTTTCCCTCTGAAAAGAAAGTATCAATGCATCCATGGAAAGGAATTGCAGGGTGATACCTTCGGGATCGACTCGGCGGGCGAGTTTGAGGGCGTCGGAGTTGGCCAGGTCCTCCGTGGCGGGGGTCACGGCCAGGATCAGGGTGTTTGAGGGTTTGATGTATTCCAGGATCATGTCGTGGACCTGATGGGAGCAACGAATCGGGCAAGGTCGGATTAACCCTTGGCAGGGTCTTTTTGTGACGCAAACGGGGAAGGGCAAAACTTGTATGCATTTTTCCCTTGAAGGCAAATCAAAAGTTTAAAAATTCGCCTTTAGATCTATGGATAACTGTCTTTAAAAGACGCATAAAATTTTTTTAAAATTAAAAATTAGAGCCAAAGAGTGATACAAAGAATTATACCCGGGGGGGTCCAATGGACTCCCGTTGTCCGGATGAGGGTTAAGCCTCTAGTGGTTAGTGTTAACGGGAGGGAGGGGTGAAGAGTGGAGGGCATGGAGGGGGGCTATTGCCTCCCAAGGTTTCTGGCGAGGGGGGGCCTTGCCTTTTCGTCTGAATTCACAGACTCCGCGCCAACTCGTGTCCTTGAAGAATTTTTCACTTCCATCACGATGGACGTCAGATCCGCTAGGTCAAAGTTGAAACCTTGAAAACGGTTTTCCGCAATTCTTCTCTGACTTTATTTATGATTGTCCAGGTGATCCATACTCTTCCGAGTGTTGTTTCGTTACTTTTGATCTCACGGTTCTCCCTGTGGTCTGGCCATGCTTCTTTTTTTAAAAAAAAAAAAACATTTTTTTAAAAGAAGCATGGCATACCGCAGAATCACGCTTCTCCGTTCTTTATTAACGGTCGAACAACGACATGGTTGAATATGGAAGGTGGACCTTATTTATTTAAGTTTTTTTTTTAAGAAAGAAGGAAGTGAAAGGAATGAGAAAAAGAGCACTCACGAGTTGCTCTATGTCTTCGGGCTGATTCCCGACGGGGATCTTGGTCAGACCGGGCAGATCCACCAGCGTCAGCTGCAGAACTGTCCACGAGAAATGGCTCACCGTGAGGGAATCTGGCTCATTGCGAGTGAATCTGGCTCACCGTGAGGGGAGTAAAATCGGAGCATGATGGGCTTGCTGGAAACGGCCTTGTCCGCCGTTTCCTTGTCCGTCACGTCTGCGATCACTTTCTTCACGTCGTTGAAGTCGGTGTACCTCACGTCCGGGTGCTCCAGCAGCTCCACGTACTCTGTTCGATCGACCGAGCTCCTCTCTATATTCGTGGTTTAGAATGGATTTTAGGAGGGGAAGAGGCTCTGGCCTACCCTCTTCGTCGGGGATCATTTGCAGGTTGATTGGGCATCGCGTGACGATGCCGGCGCCCTTCGGTAAGAAGTCCCTGCGATCAGACGTTTCGGTGGATTCATGGCACAATAAATGGATGGATAATAGATGGGTGGGTGGATGGATGGGTGGGTGGGTGTGTGGGTGGATGGATGGAGGCCACGTGAAGGTGAACGTACCTGCCGGCCACGGACTCGAGGACGGAAGACTTGCCCGCACTCTGTCCTCCGATGACGGCGATCTTGGGCAGTTCGAGGTTGACGCCGGAGTAGGTGGACGCGAAGGCGTCTTGGAGCTTGTTGATCACCGTCACCAGCTCCTTCATTTCTTCGTTCGATCCCATCACAAGGCTAAGATGCACTTTTCAAATCTATTATTCGAAAATACCGAATCCATTTCTGTCGCTCAAACTTTTATTGAGATCGTGCTTTTTTATCCATGAAGTTTTCCGAGTTGTTTTATCGTGCAAAAGGTGATTACGCTTGATTGGTTTGAAGCGAGATTTTTCTTTTCACGGGGTAGTTCCCATCTGTTACGCTAATCTCTAAATTGAAACCATCCGTTATGTGTCAATTTTAGGTTTAAAACAAATATTTATGGCCTCTTCTGAAATGAGAAGGAAAGACCTCCGAGATCGAGGAGACGATCGCGATCCACGTATCTTGCCTGCAGCGAGGGTGTCGTGCTGAGAAATACTTTAAATAGCTAATCATTTATCGCTATTATGTAATTTTTTAAAAGTTGTATTGGTAATGTAGCAATTCCAAAATATAATAATTATATTAATGATATTTTACTATTGCTACCTCCATAGTTCTTGCGATATCATAATTATAAAATAAAAACAACTATTATAGAGGCCTTACCAATTTTTGCCTATTTTACTCTGATAACCTTATGTAATACGGAGGGGAATTACCTGTTCGCGAGAAGTCTTCAAATCGACTGGTGCTGGGAGGGGATTCCAGGATTATTTTGTCGTCGTCGAGGGCCTTGTCCTTCGAGGATTGCAGTTGGGAGCGGCTGGGAACCTCTGGCATTTATTCATGAACTACTGAAATTATCATACGAGGAGGAAAATCTCGTTCGGGCACGCATTTTTTTGTCGATTTCCTGCAGAGCGGAGGGAACGGCTCGTACCGGGCTTGGATATGAAAAGGTTCCCCTAATGAGACTTGGGGACTGCAATGCCTAATTTTTCATGTTTCCTTCGCATATGGATGGCTGTTCTGCGGAGAACTACTCTGATTTCAAAATCTTGGAAACTCTTTGAAAACTGGGTTAGTCCAGATTGTGCAAGCAAACCGATGAATGTTCTTCAGTTAAGTGACTAAATTTTGCTCCAACTCGACCCGCGCAGACGATTGGAGGAACTCAGACTCAGCACAACCATCGCTGAAGCAACATTGCAGCATTGGAGACGAGACCCCGACGCCCGAAAGCTTCTTTCGGGCGTCGGGGTCTATTTAGGAAATAATTTTGATTATTGGGATAGGACAACTGAACCTTTTAATTAAGGAAGTGTCTTCTCGCGGTCGCCTCTGTTTTGTCATAAGGTGAAGGTGAAACTGCTTAAGGGTCATAATTATCTTGCTCGCTAAACGGATGGCTCTGGAATTGTCGATTCGAGAGATGATAACTTCTCTTTGGGGTCATGGGGGAAGGTCGCGAAGAGAAGATTGGGAGGGAGGAGGGGGACGAAATTCTGCAAGAAATGAAAGGGAGTAATTTTGGATTTAGAAAGCTAAACTTTATTCCGTTTATGAGAGTCGAACTCTGCGACCGACTGAAATGCCTCTTGGTTGTGCTTGTGCTTCAATTTCCCAGTAGATCTGTGAAAAATCGAAATAAACCAGCCAGGCTATGTCTATGTCGATCACACATTTTGACAGACTTTCTTACATCCCGTTCTCATAATTGAAGATCGGTTCGCCCTGCCCTGGCTTTCCTTCTTGTTGGGTTAAGATGATGAAGGCATTTGCTAATGGGAGGGCGAATCACCTGAAGGTGGGTTAGCTGCACCCACGGCAAACGAATGATATACATTTGGGTAGAAGCGGACGTTTCTTGGTCCTGTGGGAGGAGTGAGAGGAGGAGGGGCCAATCGGGGCGATCTCGGGGGATAGGGAGAAAACTGAAGGAGAGGTTTTGAGGGTTTTCCCAGGTCATCAATTGCCCCTTCCTCTTCGTTTCTCAGAGGATCCGTCATTCACTCTCTTGTATCTGATCGGGGCCGGGGAGACGCTTGGCCTCTCCTTCCCCGCTTCAAAATGTAGTCAGGCAGGAAGAGTCGCATCTCCTTCATCTTCGTCCTCTGGCTCGTCACCGGACTCTCTATTTTCTTTGTCTTTTACGCTCTCTTCAACCCCTCAAGCCAAATGGAAAGGTCGACCATAGTACAGCATTCATCGGTTTGCTTGCACAATCTGGACTAACCCAGTTTTCAAAGAGTTTCCAAGATTTTGAAATCAGAGTAGTTCTCCGCAGAACAAAATGGGCCACACATCGCCATATCACAGCATTTTGCGCATGCCAAGGTTAAAAGCGCAGCCGCCCCTGAACACCTTGATTTGCTCATAGAAGTATCTTCGAAGGGAGCCAATACCCACTTTGAGGTGTATCGGATTCCAATTCGAGTTCAGAATTCCAATTTCTCAGAAGAGTAGGTGAAGTGAGTCAAGGACCCGAAGCCTTCCCCTTCACTAAAGGACACGAGTGAAATATGATCAGGATGCGCCGACGGTAGTTTATCCTCTCGAGGATCGACATTTACAAAGCCTCAGCAAAGCAAAGCATTTACTCGGCAAATGAGAGATGTGTGTAAGCAGGCACACCTTCACTCCGGAGCTGATGGCAAGACAACGGAGACAGTGAGAAGACACTTCTTCCGGTCATCGACTTCGTGTTTGTGACACTTTGCCATGGAGCCAGACCGGTCTCCCTCAGCCCTCCCTTTCTTTTCTCCCTGTAGTTTTTTTTTTATGCTCTTCCATTATGTAAGCAGTGTAAGAAATGCCCTTATGAGTGTCACACCCCTAGGCCCCATATTTTGCGCGATTTAGCTACTTGGCTGTTGTAATGGTGCTACCATTCAGCTCTTGTTGCGTCTTTGAAAAGTATATTTCCAGATATATTTTCATCCAAAAGAGACATTGAGTGCTACGAACTTTTAAATGAACCAGTCCTTCGTCCGCCCGCCGCTAAGAGGTGGTTTGGCCATGTTTCTTTCGAGAGCTATATATTTTCCTAACACCTCCTAGTCGGCGATTCGGTGGAGCAGATTCCCTCATTCGTGAAATAGACGCCGGTCATCGACTTGAGACAGGCAGAGAGGCTTTTACCACAAGTCCATTAAGCGGTTTTAGTCCGGATGGCTTTTCTACTGCGCAAAATCGCCTTTCGCCGTCCATCTACCTCAGTCGCCTGGTACAAAATGACTTCCAATTTCGCTTCCAATTTTTGTTCTCTCCAGAATGTTCGTGTAAGTTATAAGAACGGTTTCTTCCGTTTGTCTCAAACATTCAAATTGTTTTTCTTCCTTTTTCATTCTTTGTGCTGTTTAACATGAATTTCCGCTTAAAGATTTCCTTAGAAATACTTGTTGGCCTTGTTCTGGTTTGTTTAGAGTCCCAGTCTGCTTCCAACCCCAATCATTATTTGCCACAAACTCGGTCCAACGCCACACTGAAGAGACTCCCAAAATAATGCTAATGCGACTGCAACGACAAGTTTTCGGCGATTCTTTCGCGCGCGAATCGACAACTCCTTGGAATCTCTCAGGGATTCCCTTCTTCAGTTAAGTGACTAAATTTTGCTCCAACTCGACCCGCGCAGACGATTGGAGGAACTCAGACTCAGCACAACCATCGCTGAAGCAACATTGCAGCATTGGAGACGAGACCCCGACGCCCGAAAGAAGCTCTGCTGTGACGTCACGAGAGACCCACGAGGGACCCCTTCCTTCCGACAAACATAACTCCAACTAAAAGGAATACCTGCCACGTATTTCTCTATTAAAAAAGGAACAGTCGCAGCATGTCATCATCGCAGAAATCTGTCCCTCAGCGCCACGAATCCGACAACCCCGCTCGATCGACGATGGACGGCGGGGAAGCGGAATCCCGTCCATCCCGGGTGCAGCCGTCGCTTCGCGTCGTGCAGAGAAGGGCTCAACCCATTCCTGGTAGACCTGAAGGTATCAGTGTTTTTCCTCTCTGCACTTTGGATTACCTGTTCTCGAAGGTGGATTCGGTACTTTTGTACGCGGGACTCGGCAATCTTCAGTCGCCTCCACTCGGAGAATATTAAATGAAATTTAACCCGACGATGAGTCGATCAGAGCGTGATGGCAGGAGGCATCGAAATCGGTCAACAGTTTTTTCGATTTTTTTTTTCAAGACTCCTTTACCGTCTGCAGCCGTGGAGCCTTTCGAGGAAAGGCAGGCCTGGCTTGGAAGCGCGTATCTCGATGATCATTTTCAAAAGCCCTCATTTTCTCGAGGAACGAGGACTAATACCGAACGCGAGAAGCAATCTTTCAGGAAATCCGTCGGCGTTCCGGTGTTTACTCGTGGCTTCGAAGTACCGAAGAGGTACTGGAGGCTAGGACTGGCAGAACTGAAAATTATTTTTAGCGAGGTCATCTGCTTGTGCGTGTCCGTCTGTCTGTCTGCCTGAGCAAAGCCCTCGTCGACGATTGCTGGAATGTCATGACTGCAAATGGCATCAAATTTCGTTTATTTGCCCACAGAGGCGAACATCGACTCAAAATTTTCATACAGTTCAACTGTCCTCAAGAATAACCATCCCCACACCCACTGTCTCCCATGCAACGCGGAGTCCCCTCCTCCAGTGGGGGCCTGGCTTCCTTGCCCCTCCCACCCGTTTCCTTGCCTCCCGTGAGTCGCGAGGATCGTCTGCGAAGCCGATGCGTGCTGGCAGCTTCTCCGGGGATTTATTTAATTAATTCCTCAAGGAATGAGGAAAGCGTGGGGAAAAAAATGGATTCGTGGCCTGGAGGTGTCCGCCGATTCTTTTCCTGGTTTGACTCGCGGCCTGCCGGGAGTCCGTTTCACCTGTTTCGCCATTTCGCGGGAGTACGGATAATTTGACCCTAAACTCATGTTCGGAATCGGACCTTGATGCCGGGGATGATGACGTCATATGAGGTCGATCCCCGGAGCGGACGGACCAGCCGATTAGGTGCAATCGCGTGACGAAAATAGGAAAAAAAAGTAAAACTCGGCGTGCGATGTTTGAAACGGCTTCAACTGTGTCGGACCGATCGGACCACGCTGTGAAAAAATACCTGAAATTCACCTCCCTGATTCTAAATTCTAAATCCTTATTCCTAAATCCACCTAAATCTTCCTTTCGCATTTTCCTCAGAAGTTTATCTAAAGGCCGAATTTTTTTTTCCAGTGCATCCATCACCGAAGACAAGAACGGACCCAGGAATTCCCCCGGTAAAGGCCACGGTCCCATCTATCAACGGCCATTCTTCCCCGGGAAGGCTATGCTAATCCCCATGCTAATCCCCATGCTAATCGGCCGGCGTGCCATGCGTCCCGGGAGGCGCGTGGAGGCGTGTGGTGGCATGCGGGTCATGCGGGGGCAATGTGGAGGTGAGAGGTCGCATTCTCGGCCCCTTCACGTGGGGGTCCTCATTTTCAGCACATTTTAACTGGCGATCGATCACGTTTTCTTCTCCTTAACCGACGACGATCTCCTCCCCCCGTTTTCCGTGAGCCTAATCTCTTAACCCTCGCTTGCATGACCGAATTTATGCGATTTCTATCTGTGGGACCCACTGACAAAATGACACGCGTCAGAGTTTTGAAAAGAGCGCTCAATTTATTAAGTAAATATCCATGTTAGAAAGCTATGAATCAAGTCTTGTACATGCTTAACTATTTTTTTGCTCACTGGTATGAGTCTCAAAGACCCGTGACTTGCATCCTTGTAAAAAACAAGGAAAAATTATACCGAATTTCATCTTGTGTGTGTGTGTGTGTGTGTGTGTGTGTGTGCGTGTGTGGGTGTGCGCGCGTTTGCATATTGTTTAAATTTGTAATAAATAAGCCCCAATGTCAGGCTGAGCGGATTTATTTCGCACGCAAGAAAGATACATGACGGTGCGCTCGAAGGGTGCTCGCTATTTACTGGGGTTCAAACTGTTTTTTAAATTTTAATGTTTTTTTCTCTTTAATATAACGATCGTCTCGATGTCTGTGTCTGGGTGACGCCTTCATCTGTGGGAATGCTTCAGGCTGCTCCTGAATCTTCATCGACTCAGAAACTTGATGAAAGTGGCATGCAATCGCCTCTCGAAATTTTTCATCTTGCGACAGTCCAGGAAATAATTTTGAAATCCGGAAACTCGTCGGGAAACGTAAGTGCCTCTTGCACCCCTGAAACTGCAACCGCAAGTGACGTCACGCCTTCGCACGGCGTGACGTCGTGACACGGAAGACTGACAGCCCCAAATCTGACTCAGTCGGTCGTCAGGAATGCCTGCAGGGCTGCAGAAAGGGAGGCATCTGACATGGGAACCCGAGCCTCGAATTCACTTAGCTGTCGCTAGATGGCACAAATTGAATCTTAGTTACGTTGCCAGTAGATAGCGTAGCCAATGTTGACTTGGTTTTAATTTCACAATGATTTAACGTTTATTCAATGATACGACTTAGAAGACGTCGCGGTCATTATGTCGTCCAGGAAAGCGTCGCTAAAGGCAGGCAATTTTCGGTAGGGCAATTTTTGCAAGGCAATTTCTTCCGACTCTCCGACCACTTGGCAGTTGCGTCAAGTGATTTTTGATTCATCGATGTTTTATCATTCATGGCAGATTTTCTTTGCAATTATAGGACCCTTCTTGCAATTACGAGAACAGGATTTACAATAGGTACTTCGGTAGAGGATATAATATACGATCGATGAATGGGAAACACGAACCAGGAAGACAGTACTGACAGTACTTGGCAGGACACCATCACGGAATTCCTGGAAGGCTTTCAAAAGAGATTAATGGCCGGGGGCGTGGCCGGAGGCATGGCCGGAGGCGTGGCCGGGGCGTGGCCGGAGGCGTGGCCGGAGGCGTGGCCGCTTCCGGCAACCGGAAGTTTCCCGCCGATCATCAAATATAAGAATTACTAATATATTGTATCGTTGCTTATGGACATTTCTGCTACGCTTTGGAGAGAGAGAGACGAAAATCGTCCGTTGTTGAAAGAGTCGGTAAAGGCACTTTTTTTTTAAATTATTCCTGTTAATGAGGAATGGTCGATCCGGTGAGGAAGTGCAGGGTGGAAACCGGACCTGCATTTTCAGCCTCTTCTTCGGAGTGAATCGCGGGATCGGAGGAATGCGGTATTATCATGGCATCATAGCATTAATAGAGGTGATTCGTGATGTCGATGCTGAAGAGTTGAAACAAACAGCAGCAATATGATATGGTAAAGTATGGTAAGGTATGGATGGTACGATATGGTATGGCACTCCTTAATTGGTCGATATTGCAAACAGTGGCTGCCAAAATTAATCAATGTTCGAAGAACATCGGTGCAATGTCGGACCAATTCGGCAGCTGAGATCGGTTCCACGATTGGCCGATTGGTTCAAGTGGCGTTTTCAAGACTAGCGCAATATTGGCTTCGAGATTCGGCTCTGCTCGCAGCCAGAGCGATACTTGGGACTTTTGCGCATTTCATTTTTTTCTTGGCAAAATTTTTGCTGGAATCTGATGCCCGTCCGCGCTGAAATGGAGTAATTATATTTATAACATTCACAGATGTTTAAATTCAATGGACGTTTTATAAATTTAATATCGTAGAAATGAGTTGGACGCGCTGAATGAAGTCCTCACGCCTTCGAGTTTCTTCCGGCGCCTCGTCGAGTTTCGTCTTGCCCGCCGCCCGCCGTGCCATCGCGGAACCCCCCGCGATGCGCGTGGCATCACGCCGGCTCCATTCATCAGTGCCGCGGCCTTCAACTCCGACGTCGGTCGAAGTGAGAAAAATCTCCAGTTAAAAGTTTACTCGTAGAGCCTTTTTAAAATTAAAAATGGTAGTTTTGGGGGAAATATGTGATGGTACGAGAACAATGATTGGCGTCTGGGCGGGGGCGTGGGCTCCACAAGTCGACAGGAGAATTGCCGTTGGCAGGAAATGAGGCTGGATTCGGGTTTTGGGTTGCGTTTCCGTTCGTTCCATCAAAATGCTGCACGGTGTCGGTGTCGACACTGCCGACACCATCGAACGACGTGTGGCCACGGTTCTTGTCGCTCTCCACTGAACAGTCTAAACGCGAAAAATGAGTTTCCCTTTTTCCGATCGACTTCAGCATCTTCATTGAAAACAGTTGAGGCAACTGGTGGGATGATGAAACCATTCTATCCGTTGAATCGGAATCGCTCCATTAAAGTTTGGCTGTGGTCCCCTATCCGCGCTTCTGAGTTTCGTTGGGGTTCACCCCGATATTAGCTAATAATAGATACACAGCCTCCTGTACGGCTACAGTTATCCCCGTACGCATTTTTTGACAAAAAAAATGCGCGTGGTCCCACGCGGCGGACAAGCAAAAATAGGCTGGTCGTCAACGTGTTAAGAAGACCCTCATTTTGTCACCTACTTGAACAAAATACCGTGACGGTCTTGACGGCCTGTCTCGTCAGACCACCCTTCCGGAGTACTGAATCCGGTACTGGCGAGATCCGCCCTCCAGTCCGCAGACCGGATGCCGACACCGGGGATAACTGTAGCCGTACAGGAGGCTGTGTATCTATTATTAGCTAATATCGGGGTGAACCCCAACGAAACTCAGAAGCGCGGATAGGGGACCACAGCCAAACTTTAATGCGAGCCACTGGTTTCAACAACGCAACCGAGTTTCTTTACCAGACCAATCAGGGCAATCCGGCCGTCGCAATGTAAAGGAATGTCACAGCCAAGAAAGCTTATTACACAACCAAATACAGACTGCGATGCCAACTCCTTCTCTAACTTCAACGTGAGCGTCTTCAGTTGCATGATGCTTTCCGGAATGGGTGAATGATAACTTCCTCCAGCTCCAGATTCTCCTTTCTGTTCCCCTCGTTCTGGGGCAACTTGTATCGGGTTTAAAGTTGCCGTATCTCCAATTCAGGCAAAGCTCATCCGCAGACAACGATTCAATGACAGTCGAATCCCAATGCCCACAAGCAAGATTTTGAACGGATGGGTTACCTTGCGCGTTGGGCAGCTGCCGTAAGCAAGTTGCGGTAGCGTTGTCGTTCACAGGCGGAGCAAAGGATGAAAGGTAGCGCAGCAGTAGATATCAGTCGTCCTCCATCTTCAAAGTCCATTTCTCCTCTTTCCACCTCCCCCGAAACAAGTTTTTATTTATTTATTTATAAAAATAGGAGCTAAATGTATGGTGGGCCCCGCATGTGGTGGACCAACACATGACTCCCGCCCACCATGGTGAGATCCTCCCAATACCAGGGCTGGCAGAGTGCAAGACCCTGGTGGAGCTGATGTCGTAGCCATGGGAAGGTGTCCCATGGCTAAAGTGCGTCGACGTGTCTGGAAACCAGATCCGTCTTCGCGCCTGGATCCCTCCCGTTTTCAGGTTTTAGCTTTTACATTTTAGATATATCAAAAGACAGAGCGGCCTTTACTGAGAATCAACCTATACCTTAAAGGATAGTGAGTCGGGGCTGGTTAACTTTAGGTCCACTTGTTCAAGAGGTTAAGAGATTTGTGCCCTAGCAATTACGTGAATTTATTTTAGTGCAGGGGTGCCCTAGGAGGTGGCCCGCAGGCCATTGCTTTGGGCACCCTTGATCTAGTGTATTTAAGGTTTTTAATTGAACATTAACGTTTCATTAATTCATTAATTCATTAATTGAACATTAAGTGAGTTAGGGGATAAAAGCCCCATTGGAAGGAAAGATGTTTCCAGGTGCCAGCTGTCCATCAGGCGCCCTGGTAACAAGCGATAGGGCGGGGGGTTATGAGAGGTCTGTGCAGAGCTATTCCTAAGGTTCATGCAAAGGGGAAGTGAAAGGTGATGTCTGATTAGGCAGCAAGGTAAGGAGTGGGAGATGATCTGAATTTTTTTTTTTTTGCTGATAGAGAGTGTAGGTGGAGCTCGCGCGGCAGAAAAAAAGCACTGCCGTCGCGAGATGTTCTTAAGGGGCGTTAGAAAGAGGAAGAAGGCAAGGGAGCTGCGGGGTGGAAAGGGTCATGTTTAGTTGGTGGTTCAGGTGGAGGGGGGGGGAAAGAGCCGTAAGTGGTATCACTAGCATTTCCGAGGCGTTGCATAATTTTATTATAGGGATAGATCTTAGTGTGCTTAAAGCGCCCAATGGTGAATNGCTCACGGGAGACATCTACCGTCGAAGCTGTGCACCTGACTGAAGGCAACAGAGAGCACTGAAGATATCTTCAAGATATCCCCTCCAGGATGTCTTAAAGATATCCCGATAGGGATATCTCTAAGATATCGACTGAAGATGTCTAAAAGACGTCCCGAAGACATCCCTTACGAGATGTCCGAAACCGTCAGAAAGAAGATGTCTTCAGGATATCCTATAAAGACATGGGGACAAGTCGTCCAGTTAGGGACATCCCTGGGATATCCCTGTGCTGTGTGGGTGGTGTTCCCACGAGAATTCTCTTCGCCAAAGGGTGTTGGCTCATTTGA